GTAGTCCAGGCTGGCCTCGAATTCACAGAGATCCGCCTGGCTCTGCCTCCCGAGTGCTGGGATTAAAGGCGTGCGCCACCACCACCCGGCAATAAACTGTATTCTTAATAATTAAAAAAGAATATTTATAAATCTACTGTTTATATCATATGTATTTTCCTTGATTGGGAAACATTTATTCATACATTACTGACAATCAACAAACAACTTTTTAATTAGAACCCAAAATAAAACTGAAAATCCAGACAGCACTGATATACTCTACTATCCAAAGTAATTTTTTGTAGACAGTATGAGATATGCTAAGTATTCACTTACTTTGAGGTGTAATTCTTATGAGATCAGGTTATTTGCTCTGTTTGATAATTAACCTCGCCTTGGAAAAAACCCTCACCAAGCAACCATGCACCAACCAACAGCTATGGACTAACCTACTAGGTCTTCTCTGGAAGCAGCAGAACGTGGTGTACTTGTCCCAGGTTCTATCTTTAACGAGAGCCTATATTTTAAAAAGCAAAACATAAGCAACAATGAACATTGGCAAAATATCAAAGTCACATTTCTTTACAAAAAACCCAATAGGGAGGAGCTGGACAGACTGCTTAGTGGTTGAGAGCATCAGACGTTCTTTCAGAGAACCCGGGTTCAAGTTTTCACACCACAGGGTAGCTCAGAACCATTCATATTCTGGTTTCAGGTGATACGACGCCCTCTTCTGGCCCATGCAGCCCCCAGGCAGACATGTCTGCACAGACATACATGCACACTAAACACCAGACATATAAATACAAATAAATAAATCTTTAAAAAAAAAAAACCAACAATATTTTAACAGATTGTGTGCTGTAATATATATTTTTCTTTCAATGTAATTTTTAATTCAGGTGTTAAATCTCTCTCATAAGCCAGTCTTATAGTTACTTTTACAAAATACTGAAGAGGAAAAAAACATCAAAATGTTATATTTAAACACATACACCTCTTCAGTTACCACACAAAGGTGCCAAACAATTCACTCCAGCTAAAGACATTTACTAAATTACTAAAAGATGATTTTAATTATGCTGGACATGGTAGCCAGCCTGGGCTACACAATGGAGTCCAGGCCAGCCTGGGCTATAGTTTGAGATCCTGCCTCACACAAACCAACCAAGAAGCAAAAAATGATTTAGATTTGTACTGACACACATTTAACTAAATGACAATCAAATTCAGGAATGTACTAATACTCATGTATTATTTAATACATAATTTATTTCTAGAATCTCTGTAAGATGCCGGGCAGTGGTGGCGCACGCCTTTAATCCCGGCACTCAGGAGGCCAAGGTAGGCGGATCTCTGTGAGTTCTAGGCCAGCCTCGTCTACAGAGAAACCCTGTCTCGAAAAACCAAAAAAAAAAAAAAAAAGAATCTCTGTAAGATGAACTATTGGGTTGATTTTAATACTGAAAATTTTCAAAACACTTTTTACAGAACTACCCAACAAATCAAGTAACACAGCTTATGAAAAGAAAGGCCTATACAACACAAAGATTGTTTCCAAAATGGCTTTTCAATTCTCACCTTACAGGTGTGCCTAATTTTTTTCACACCATGATACACCATCTACAAAGTTCATAGTTATAAACTGCACAATCAAGTTAAAACAAAAACAAAACTCAAAAGACATACACTAACCAATCTCACAACGTTTTAAAGGAAGCTTAGGACTTTGTGTTGGGAGACACTCACTGCTCTCCTGATCATCTGAGGCCATATGGGGTTTGGGCTTGGTGGTGGTGGGGTCAATGCTGTGAATTTATGTTACTTGTGCTGTCTACACATCCAGTTTTGAGTATCACAGAAAGATGTCTTGATTTTTATTAGTGGAAGCAATTTGGGAAACAATACTGAAGAAGTAAATTGTAGAAAATGTTTTGGTGTAATTTGTAAAGACTTGAAGAATTTGAAAATTTGTGAGTTGTCTTTTGTTTTGGTGGCGCTGGGGGCTTCATCAAGGGCCTTGTAAACACTAGGTGAATGTTCTATCTGGAAGTTTCAGTGAAATCACAAAATAAAGAAGCATGCAAACTGAAAACAAATCCAGTGAAGGTATTTAATTATTTCCTAGCCGGGCGGTGGTGGCGCACGCCTTTAATCCCAGCACTCGGGAGGCAGAGCCAGGCGGATCTCTGTGAGTTCGAGGCCAGCCTGGGCTACCAAGTGAGTTCCAGGAAAGGCGCAAAGCTACGCAGAGAAACCCTGTCTTGAAAAACCAAAAAAAAAAAAAAAAAAAAAATTATTTCCTTTATAACCTAAGAAAATAAGAAACAGTTCTATTCCAGTTACTTGACAGCACAGACAAAGGGCGCAGCAGACTGCATTCCCTGCAGATGCCTCTGTGGGCAGTGTCTACCTTTCCCAGCACTGCACCCTCTCAGGATGGAACAGAGCAGGGGCTGGCTGACTACATCCCAATGCTACCTATGGCCTCTAACTGCAGTATGAAAGGCACTTCAGGATCAACTGCTATTCCAAGTGTCAGTGGTCCACATAGTGAGTTCTAGGACAACCAGAGCTACATGGAGGACCCATCTCAACAAACAAAACAATTAGCTTTAATACAAACTCCATCACAATCTTGCTATAGTCAGTAAAAGTTTACCATTCTCTGTAATTGTAATTGTGTAGGTTTTACTTAAGACTGCTCTTCTGCATAATACTGTTGAGAGGACCGAGCAGACGCCAAAACAGGCTGCTCAGTCTCCTCTCAATTTCAGTTTCCTGAGACTGGACCGGCAATTTCTGTAAGAGCCACGAACAATGGACAATTAATTACTGGCGCCCCTGACCACAGGGACAAGGGAGATAGGACGCACTAAGCCTGGGCCACTGAGCCAGGCCCCATGGTCAGTGTGTGCTAGGCCAGTCAGCCTCCACAGCAGCTCAAGGACAAAGCCAGGGACTTGTCCAGGTTTGCTCAAAGATGGGAAAACTGTACCTTGACCAGCCTCTAACTAGTCCTGGCCAATTAGAACATAGTAATATGATTGCCACTTGCTTAAGCCAATCGTAGATAAAATAACCTAACTGCCTTAGGGCCTCCTCTTGGCTATGCTTAAAAGGAGCTCACACATCTCTCTCAGAGTCTTTGCCATCTTTCCTTTTTTGTGGGATGATAGGCCCCAGCATGCCGGAATAATAAACGCTCTTGCTGATTGCATACATGGATGATGGTCTTTCATGGGACTTCTCTAGGACCCTAACAATTGTAACTCTTTTTAAGTCAGTACGTTTCTTTAGCTAGAAGACAGATTTTAATAGATACTTGTATTGAGATTTTAGAACATCAAGATAATTGTTCATATTTCCCTGGACAACATGTGTTTGTCAAGTGTCAATTCTCTATTTATACCAGAGGCAGTAACTGGAGGCACAGGAAAAAGAGATAAACAGTAAGACACAGACCACTCAAGACCCTTACAACATAGCCCAAGGTCTGTGAAACTCCAGCCTTAGCAAGCTAACACTGGCCTCATATTACATCAAGTGAGTCACTATATATAAATATTTTGTGTAAAAGCTGAGAGAGAAATTTCAATGATATGATATGGGGAAGAAAATTATAATAAAGGTATTTTCAAACAATACAATTTTAGACACATGAAAGTATTTTCAGAGCTTAATATATTTAATATCAGAACAAAATAAAATTTATAGGGCTGGAGAGATGGCTCAGAGGTTAAGAGCACTGACTGCTCTTCCAGAGGTCCTGAGTTCAATTCCCAGCAACCACATGGTGGCTCACAACCATCTGTAATGAGATCTGGCGCCCTCCTCTGTATACATAAATAAATCTTTAAAAAAAAATAAAATAAAATTTATCACACTCTAGAATTTCTAGTTTTCAATGGGACTAATTCTTTTATTCCACAGAATTAAGACTGTTGAAAGCTGTAAGTAAAAAGCCAATCTTCATTAATCAAAGGGGATAAGAAAATACTACTTCATTAATACTTGGGGGGAAAAAAATCACTGATTTTTTTCTATCTTGATATGTTTTCAAAACATGCCTTTGAATTTTTTTACTCATTCATTCATTCATTCATTCATTCATTCATTCATTCTTGTATGCACAGGAGCCACGATACAAGTGTACAAAGTCAGAGAATGACTTCCCTGGATGTTCTGTAATAGTTTGCTCTGATATTCAAACATTCCAACCTTATGGGAAGCTCCTTAAGCAGAAGGTAAACCACTCAAAATAGCTTCAGAAAGTCCCTGAAACTGACCAGATTCTCTAAGCCCTCCTTCCCAGGATGTAAACAAGCCAAATTGCTAAGATGCACTCTCAGACAAGAGAGACCAGACCAGCACCCTGGAAGAGGCAGAAACCAGCCGAGCTGCCGGTAAGAGGTTTAAACAGAGTCACTCAGGACACTCTCCAACCCACTGGGCCGCCTGCAGGCTGTGCACTGTGCCCCAGGTTCCCAGCTCTGTGAGCTGTCACCCATGCTGAGTGGGCTTGGGTGATACAGCTCTCTTTGAGTCATTTACACTCCTGTAAATAACTCCAATAAAACCCACTGGTTTACCAAGTTGACTTGGGTGTGTCTTTAGTGAGTTCCCTATCTGGGGGGAGGAGACCTGTGTGTGTGGACTCTGCCCGAGGAAAAGTTTTATCAAACAACAGAGAGTCACTTTTCTCCTCCTCCGTGTTGTTAGGCTGGGAGGCAAACCCCTTACTAGCTGAGCCATTTGCCAGCTCAAACAGGCCCCGGGGAATTGGGCGAGGGCTGAAGACAAAAATTCAACTTTAAAGCTTGGCAATAAATGGCATAATAAAGCTAAGCAATGTCCATTTGAGGTGGTGTACACCTACAGGTCCAGGTCCTCAGCAGTCGGAGACAGAACTGCCTGAGCCCACCAGTTGGGGACACCTTGGGAACCCAGGGAAAACCACACATAAAAAGCAAAGGGAAAAAAAATCAACAAATGAAACCAAAAGAAAAGCAAGAGGCACCATCTTCTCTACCCCGGCAGCTGTGAGGTGAAGTCAGGCCAGGGAGCCAGAAAGGGTTACCAGCTTAAGGGTCCTTACTAGAAGACAGTATGATATCATTAAATAGGGTACTACAGTGGTACTTTGACTCAGGATGGGAAGTTTAAATAGTCTCTCAAATCTTGGAAACACTTACAAAGACATGTCTAAAAATAATCATTTAAGAAGGAATAGTTTTTGTACTTTGTGAATGGCATGAATTTTTTTTTCTGCTTACAGAAATAGAAATTTCCTTAGGAAAAGAGCCTGAGTACACAAGGAAAAGGAAAAACTCTACTTTGAATTAAATGTCTTGTTCTCTACAGCCTAAGAATGCAAAAACATGTTTAAATTACTGTATTTATTTTTTGAGGGGAAGATACCTTATGCGATTTGATCCTTTCTCATATGGGACCCGGAATCGAGCTCCGACTGTCAGGCTTCCTTGCTGGCTTAAAAGCTACACTATTTTTAAATAAAGCTGAAGCATTTGTATACTGGTTAACATCATGTGATTAAAAGAAGCGCATGTAATTACCCTTACCACTGTTAACAGACCTCTGAGGAGGCACAACTAGAGACATTGTACTTAGATGTTTAAACACATTGGACCAAAGGGTGAAGGCTCAAAGCAGAGCACTAGACAAAGTATCCAAATGTGAAGATGGACCTACTTGTAATTATCGTCTTCCACAAACTTTTGTAGTTCTTCTATATACTGAACGGAATTCAGGTACTTTTGGACATGAGGCAACATGGGAATATCTAAGCAAAAGATGACAAAGGATTATTTAAGTCAAGTACATAGTAACTAGAAACTTAAGGAGAAAAATACAACTGGTGGTAGCTAAGGCCACATGTCACCAAAACTGAAATTAACTCTACAAGACATTCTTTTAACTCACCATATTCACAGGACTGCTGTAAATCAGAAATTATTCGAAGAATGTTATTCATCAAATTTGATCTCTGCTCATTTTCTAGAATGCTGCCAGTGGATGGGTACGCTGAGTCAATGTACGTCAAGTCTGACAGATAGATACCTGGAACAGAACAAAGAGCTCTCACATGCATCTGAATGACTCAAGAGGGAACAAAACCCAATTTACAGATGTTTCTAGTATGTCATAGTTGGTTTCTAGAGTTGGGGTCAAGCCATACAAACATATGTTCCTTGTGAAGTCTCCCATGTTTTTTTTTTCAAGCACAGACTAAGGCCACAATCAAAAGTTCAGCACCAAAGGGCAAAGAGGTGAGTTCTTGACCTGGCAGAGACAGTCATTTTACTCTCTGAGTCTTGGTAATTACATGGTTTCAACCATTACCAGTTCCCAGTCTTTATTTTATCTAAGGAACATCCACAAGTCGACAGAGCCAATGCCTTCTATGGGGAAGTTAAGGTTCATCTCATACCCTTGCTTTGAGCTGATAGCCTCAACTATGAAGAGTGTTTCAATCAATTAAATTCAGGTACATTATTTGTTTTAAAGAACAGCAGCTGAGTTTCTGAAACCTTTTTTGTGACCACAAAAAAGGTTTCAGAAACTTCCTAATCAACTTCATGTTTTCTGAAATCAGAAAGAATGATATATCTCTCAGTCATATCAGTCCTGAACATAGGCAGTTCCTCCTTCAAAAAATATTTCCAAGAGTTCACTATTTATATAGAAAACGCAAAAGAAAACTGCCATTGGAGAGATATGTTTCCGCCTTATTGACCATGAATTTTCAGGACCTGTGCCCCTGCCTTCTACACAAGTCCCTGGTTTACCTGTTGGCCACTTTCTTCCATTACTTTCTAGATACAGGTCCATTAATTCAAACCTTTTACCTTTCCAGTCTAGCTCAGTGTCAGTCCCTGGTTTCTATATAAATTCCTGAAAGAAATTTACAGACTATTTAGCATGTTTTCACAGAGAAAACCCTGAATCTACAGTGATGAAAAGAACGGGGCCACCACCGTGGGACGTGTCGGGGACTGCCAGTCCTCGAATCCCGACCTTTACCATGTCCTATCATTTATGAGTGCAGAACTGCTTTGAGCCTGCTCCTATCTCATTTGTTCAAGACTATGAAGTCATTTTTGAGTTGCTCTATTTTGTTTTCTAAGAAAAAGAAAGCCTGTGTGATGCTTAGATAAGAGCTGGTTCTCAATACAGCACAAGGCCTAGGCAGCCTGCTAACCCTGCCAGAACTCGCTCCCCTCTCCTTCCCACTCCCTCACCAACTCCTGATCAAGACTGGTTTTTACAGTATTCTTTGAGTTATTTAAACATTTTTCCCCATGACGTGTTGAAATGGAAATCTAGGAGTTTTAAGCCCTATGTTTTCTAATCTTTAAATAGACTTTCAGCAAATAAACCTGAATAGTTGACATTATTACCAAGACCACCAAATTATCCACAGACTAGAAATCGACTCTATTGAAGTCCTAAATAGATTATTTAACGTGAAAAAGAGAAAACTCTACATAGTTTTAGTTGATATCATGAATAATTTTTCCCAAAACAATTTTGGGAAAATTTTAATATAAAACTGAAATGCAAATTTTCACTTTACATCCAGACAATAATTTTAGTGACTCACTTGTACTTAAGTTCTAACAGGAATATCATATAAAATTTAAGATTAACTAAATGAAGCTATAATAATTTCCCTAAATTTGACAACCCTTCTCAACTAGCATACATGAATTAAATAAATGAACACTGTTCATAACACAAAACCAGTTTGCTTTTACCAAGTAGTGTCTCTGTAAATGTGGCAGTTATAAATTAATTAAAGTTCTAAAATATAAGGTTAAAAATCTTATAAAATTATGTAATTAAGGACTGACTACATCAGATTTTCTCTATTACATCTGTATCACTTCTAAAAAATAGAAGTATATTACTGAAGTAATACTTTTGGGATTTTTTTGTTTGTTTTCAAAACAAGGTTTCTGTGTAGCCCTGGCTGTCCTTGAACTCACAGAGATCCGCCTGCCTCTGCATTCCAAGGTGTGTGCCACCATGCCCGACTAGAATTTTATAATCAAATATATAACAATCTGAAAAAGCAAAAACATTAGTTCTGCATACTTAGGCTATATTTCCCAAATATAAAAGCTGACATTTGGTAACTGCAAAGACATTAATATAAAAATTAGGAGATGTTTGTCTTTTTGAAGTGATGCTTCAAAGATGTCCTATGTGAAGGGTGGTTGGTGTTTATGAATAGTTTGTATTTTGTCTAGGCCCCAACTAAAATGCAGGGTTTTAAGATTAAATTGAAGATGAAATAAGCCCATGTATTTTATAGTATCTGCCAGTGGTCTTGCTAACAGAAGTGAGGGAATCACTAACGAAGGGACCTGGCTCTGCTGTAAATAAGCAGCTCCCTTCTAAGTTCTCCAGTTATCAGAAACACAGACAAAACAACAACACACCAAAACAAAACAAAGCCCAAACCCCAGACCCTGAGATATAATATACATGGGAAGGCCTGAAACAAAGAATTCACCTCAATAGAAGCACGGTATCTAGAATCCGAGGGTTCATCCTGCCGTCGCAGCCTACATATGGGTCATTTTCAGTTCACTGGGAGAAACTGTTTATTTCATATGGTATTTCTTCTGTTACTGTTTTGAATTATCTTGTAAATGCTCAGGTAGAGTCAGGAAATGTATACTCTACTGTAAGGTTTAGCACTGGTATTCACATTTATTCTAACTTGCACAACTTGACCTCTGATCACTTACTGACACTGAAGGAGTAGAACTGTCCCAGATTTAAACACCCACTATATAAACAAGCCAAACACACACACACACACACACACACACACACACACACACACACACACACACACACACACACAC